GTGATACTCTTTATCTCCAATAAACTACAAAAAACCAGAAGTGGAGCTCAAGTGGTAGAGCACTACCCATGGGCAAAAGAAGCTCCGGGACAGTACCAGCGCCCTGAGTTCAAGCCCCAGGACTGGTACATCCACACACAAAATAAATTTTTACTTTTATTTGCTCCAGGTCATCAGTGAAGCTTCCTATATAACTAGTGGAAGTTGTCAGAAATTAAACTTGCCCAAACTTATCAGGGGAAAGACCATGTTTAAAGCACCAAAAATATTTGTTTCATAGATATAAGAGGAAGTGGGAAGTGCCATTATAAATGCCTCTTTTGTATCCAGGTGATGCGGATGACATTATCAACCCTTAACTGGAGGCGCCGGGAGATGGTTCGATGGTTAGTGACCTGTGCTACAGAAGTGGGTGAGTCTCCCACCTCCTTCTATCCCCAGGGGAGTGTATAGGCCCAACTCTTGAAACAGGATTATGAATCATTCGTGTCATATTCCTGCCCCTGATTGCCTAGGAGAGGATGCGGCTGCTGGTAGCAGCAGATGGCCTTTGTTCTGCCCCCCCCCCAGCTCCACTCTCATGCTTGGACCATATCCTCATGTTAGCACCACTTGACCCTCTTTCATCAGAGACATGTCTGAGAGAATGAATTTTCAGCCACTATTACTCATGTACTCACTTGGGAGGTAATGGGCCCAGTGATTTGTTCCCAGTCTCTTTCCATGCTTTGAGAAAAGAAACCCCACACAAGAATCTCAGGACCCCTTCTAGAGCCCAAAGCCCAGCACAAGACTCCATTCTGAGAGGCCCCACTTCAGGTAGAACTCCCAGGCAGACCTGCAACCCATGCTTGGGGTAGGCAAACCACAGGCTCTGTTGCTCCATCCTTGTGAGGAGCTAAGAGCACTCCAGAGGTCTACAAACTTCTGACCCAGGGGAGGAAGGGATGGGAAGAAAGCCCAAACTGGGTCTGGCCATCTGGGATGCTCCCCTTGCCCTGGTTTGCCTCAGATCATCTCAAGGCTGCTGAGGAGGAGGGAGAACTCGTCTCTGCAGGCCAAGTTCAAATCCCAAATGGTAATGTGGGCAGACCTGGATCGGGACCCGGATGGCCACTGCTGAGCTCAGGCTCTCCCTGACAGGTGTGCGGGCCCTGGTGAGCATCTTGCAGAACTGGTACACACTCTTCACCCCTACCGAGGCTACTAGTATTGTAGCTGCCACAGCCGTATCCCACACCACTATCCTGCGCCTCAGTCTTGACTACCCACAGCGGGAGGAACTGGCTAGCTGTGCTCGCACACTGGCCCTGCAGTGTGCTATGAAGGATCCACAGAGCTGTGCCTTGTCAGCCCTTACACTCTGTGAGAAAGACCACATTGCCTTTGAGGCAGCCTATCAGATTGCCATTGATGCTGCTGCTGGTGGTATGACCCATTCACAGCTGTTCACCATTGCCCGCTACATGGAGCTCCGTGGCTACCCGCTACGTGCCTTCAAGCTGGCCTCACTGGCCATGAGCCATCTTAACCTGGCCTACAACCAGGATACACACCCAGCCATCAACGATGTGCTCTGGGCTTGTGCTCTCAGCCACTCACTAGGCAAGAATGAGCTGGCAGCCCTCATCCCCCTGGTGGTGAAGAGTGTGCACTGTGCCACGGTGCTTTCAGACATCCTGCGGCGATGCACAGTGACTGCACCTGGCCTGGCTGGCATCCCAGGCCGCCGCAGCTCTGGAAAGCTCATGTCCACTGACAAAGCTCCACTTCGCCAGCTGCTGGATGCCACCATCAATGCCTATATCAACACTACACACTCGCGTCTGACACACATCAGCCCCCGCCACTATGGAGAGTTCATTGAGTTTCTGAGCAAGGCTCGAGAAACCTTCCTGCTGCCCCAGGACGGCCACTTGCAATTTGCCCAGTTTATTGACAACCTCAAGCAGATTTACAAAGGCAAGAAGAAGCTGATGCTGCTGGTTCGGGAGCGCTTTGGCTGAGAAAGCAGGTGGCTCACTGTCAGGGCAGCCTGGGCTTCCAGGTACCAACAAGTCAGGCCAAGGACACTAAAACATTTGTCCACCCTGAGAGGACTCTGAGCACTCAGAGCAAAAGATGGGGAGAGTCCAACTGTAGCCAATATGCCTGCCTTGGCAAACTTTGTTATAGCCCACTGTTCTGGAGGATCTGGGCCCTGCATATTGATCAGAAACCCCACAACATGCCACCTCACGCCCTTATATCCTGCGTGTCCTGGGCATTGGCCCCTCTCCCTTGGCAAACACAGAACACTGTTCCGACTCAGGGATTGCTTAACCAGAGAAACAGAAGCATTTATGGTACTGTACATACTATAGTATATGTGTTGCCAATTATTGTAAAGTTGTAACTATTTATAATTCTGGCTCTGATTTGATGGGCACTTAAAAGTAGATGTGGGTGGGAGGATAGGCTTGTTTTCTGAGGAGACTCAACCATTTCTCAGGTTTCCCTTGCAGAGTGTATGTTGTCAGTGGATGAGTGGGGGTGGCAGAGAGAAAAGAAAATGAACAGTTAAAATAAATCCCAAGTCTTGTCTATGCAGAAACCCCAGCTTGAAGACAGAGCATCTGTAGCCCAATGGTGGGTGAGGGGCAGAGGCCAAGACTGGACTTAAAACTTTTGCCCTTCAAAGCAATGAAGACACTGAAACTTCTGCCCCTGCCTCACACAGCCTCTCCAGGAGCCTGCTAAATCGCTGAATAACAGGTTCAGGGAGAAGATGAGTGTCTGAGAAGCCACTGAGCTCATAATATGCACCTGCTGTGGTCACCTTTTATGTTAGAGAGAGTCTGGTTTCATCTCCAGTTCTCTGTGTGTGTTTGTGTATATGGCTAAATACATGTATATATGTGATACATGCTTATGTTGAACTGTAGATTTCTGTTCAGTTTAATTTGCAAATGTGTGATAATGTATATCTGTAAGTCCTCTCCTGTTTGCATGTACATGTACACAAAAGTGTATGTGTATAAACATGTTTGTGTCTGTGTGCCCGCTAGCCATGGGTCAGTGTAGTGTATCTTTATATGTATAACTAAGTTATTTTCTATATTAGTTATATTTGTGTATTCATCTTTGAGGATCTGCATGAATGTGTACATTCTCTTAGATTGCTTTTGTTTTTTGCCAGATCTCTTTTTCATTCCTTAGTCTCTTACTCCAACTAAACATTTGTTCCCTTCTAATGCCTTCATTATTCACCATTCTTTCAACAAACAAGCCTCTAAACACCAGTGTCCCTTTGCCCTAATATTGGTTACTTCAGCTTCAGTTCTTTTCTCACCAATACATGCTTCTTTTCTCCTGCCTTTCTACCTCAAGCTTCCTCTGCCTGCTTTTGTCATAGTCCCATTGGTTGCTCATTTGGAGACTGAGGTGGTTATGCCTTTGGCCTTCCCCTTCCTAATTTCTAGCTCTAGTGGACAACCTGTCTTAGCCTTAGCTTACCTCCTCAGCGTATCATGTTCCTGCTACCTTCCTGACTTATAAGCTCAGCATAGATAGGAGGTAGCAAGGGCATTCAAGAGTTGATTGATACCAATGTCTTGGGTGTTTACTGTTTTGTGTCTTAGTTCCTGAATTGGGGTGGGGTTTGATAGGGAAGGGGTGGTGTAGCTAGAGTGTGAACCCAGGACCTGTCTGCTTTACTTTTCTCTTTAGCAAACTATGTCATCTTTTTTATTCCAAACTGTCCAGTAAGTTGTATTTGCTGTTTGTGGCTACTAAAGTCCTGCTGTCCAGCCAAGGGCCCCTCCAATGTCTCAGCCCAATGGGTTGGTTTAAAAAAAAAGCCACTCCCATTTCTGTATCACAATTGCCCTTTTTTAGCAAGTGTGTAAACTCAATGCTTTTCTATGAATAAATCATGGATCACAGAAAAGAATTTTCTAAAAGCAGAAATTGTGTTCACTCAATAAACAAGGCCCTTCTTCCCCTCTTGCATTACTCTGACTGGAACAGGGAACTGGCCGGGGCCTACAGTGGATATAGAGTGACAGATTAATTTCTTGCCACATCAGACCCCAGAGTCCACAAGCTCCTCAGTGCTTTGTCCTAGGAAATAGGTATCCCCTCTCACCACTACAGAGAGTTCTATATGAGTATCTCATTTTCGGAGATACTCAGAAAATGATGTGGGCTAGGAATGTGGCTTAGTGGTAGAGTACTTGCCTAGCATGCATGAAGCCTTGAGTTCAATTCCTCAGTACCATATAACAAAAAGCTGGAAGTGGCTCTGTGGCTCAAGTGATAGAATGACAGCCTTGAGCAAAAGAAACTCAGGGACATTGCCCAGGCCCTGAGTTCAAGCTCCAGGACTGGAAGAAATGGAAAGAAGGAAGTAAGGGAGGGAGGGAGGGAAGGAGGGAGGGAATAATGCAATGACTATGGATGCCAAAGAGTCCTTTGGATTCACAGGCCTTGGTGATAGACCAGTTTAAGCCTCCAATCCTGTAAGAATCTGAGCTCTGGATCTTTAGTGTCAAATCTGAAGGTTTGTCTGGTAAGGTAGTGCACACCTGTAATCCCAGCATGCAGGAATCTGAGATGGGAGAATCATTAATTCTAAGCCAACCTAGCTATGTAGTAATATCCCATCTCAAAAACAAACCAAAAAACAAAACAAAAAAAACACAATATTCTTTAGCTTTTACCTGTTTACCTATACTCCATTTTCTTCTCCAGGATCCTCAAGTGTTTTAGCCATTTTGTGTTTATCTTCAGTCTTTCCCAAACTCAAAACCCTATCAGCTTGGCCTTTATATTGGTAGGGACCCCTCACCTTTCTCTAAGAAGTTCTACCAAATCTCATGTAGCTCTGGGGCTTAGAGCTCAATGGCAGTGAGAACCTGACATTAAGTACTGTAAAGCACCTGAGTCCCAAGACAGGTGAGAAAGAATGCAGAGAGAGCCTCAAGGAAGGAGCACAGGCTTAAGGAACTGAGATTAGATTCTAGTTCTGAAACTTTTATTCTCCTAGAAATAATCATATGTATTCAAGGTACTTAAGAGGAAAAATGTATGCTTAGTTTTTTCGAAGTAGACGTGAATGCCTGTGCACAGCATCCACAAAGGCACCCACATGTTCTGGGTCCATGTCAGGGTAAAGTCCATGGCCTAAGTTGGCAATGTAGCGTCGTGGTCCAAAGTCATCCAACATCTGCTGTACCAGCTGCCCGATCTCCTCCTAAGGGACCAAGATGACACTGCCTATATTAGAAGTAAGCCACTGTCCTTCCTATATGTGATGGTGGCACACAGATATGTAGGTATGCCTTCACACAATGCTGTTTAATCATTAATTCAACAGAATTCATCAGTTGCCTTATATGGATCAGGCACTAAGAAAACAAAAATGAATAAGAAAAATTGTTGCCTAAGACTTAAGTTGTGTGTATAGAAGGGAGGGGAAAATAGACATAATAAAAATATATAAGCTGGGAATGTGGCTTAGTGGTAGAGTACTTGCTTAGCGTACATGAAGTTCTGGGTTTGATTCCTTAGTACCACATAAACAGAAAAAGCTGGAAGTGGCACTGTGACTCAAGTGGTAGAGTGATAGCCTTGAGCAAAAGAGCTCAGAGACAGTGCCCAAGCCCTGAGTTCAAGCCCTAAGACTGGCAAAAAAAAAAAAAATGTATACACACACAACCCAACCATAGTATAAAGACAAATATGTACGCATAGGGGCCTTAATTGTTACCTCAGAGGCATAGAGGGCACAGGGATCCAGGTTGCCCTGCAAGGTCACTGTCTTCCCCACACGCTCCCTAGAAACAGAGACAGTGGCACATTTTAGTGACTGCATATTTAACAGCTACATCTCTAATTCAACTTCTAATACCCCCTCCATCACTCACCTGGCTTTCTTTGGGGTCATTGTCCAATCAAGCCCAACCACCTCATAGCCAGCCTGGGCCAGCTCATCTAGGGCAAAATGTCCATCCTTAGCAAAGATGATCTGGAGGAAAGAATACATGTCTGAGGCTTGGATGTGCCCACTAGCCTTTATTGGCTGCTCTTCTGCTGCCCTCCAGTGGTAATTTCAGCCCATTTAGAACATACTTTCAACGCTCAACAGACAACTTGACTCAACTTTATCCCATTCCTCACCATGGGTACTGGTGCCAGGCCAGCTTTCTGCAGCCCGGCTTTTACTCTTTTTGCTATATCACGGATGTATGGCAGTGCAAACTTGTTGAAGAGCTGTGGGCCAAGATGCCCTGCGTGGGACTCAAAGAGCTGCAACGCCTACAGTTAAAGGGTAGTGAAGAAAAAATAACATTTCAGGCTCAACATACAGAACATGCCTCAACTGTCCCTAGTTGACTTTAAACCCTGAATCTGGCTGACCTATAAATCGAGATAAAAAGGTTAGCCTTCTCCATATCTCAGAACATTAGTCAGAACATTGGCCCCTGGCTTTGCTGCTGCAACTAGATTATTGGAGGCCAAGATAAGACCCCTGCCCTCACCAGTTTAGGAGACTATTACTTCTGGTCCTTATCAATCAAGCCCAAGTTTATTTGTTTTCAGGACTCACCTGGGCACCAGCAGCCACTTGTCCTACTAGATATGGTACCAGAGCATCAGTGAGGATACGAAGCAGCTGGTGACTAGCCTGAGGTTTTTGATAGAGCCAGCGCTTGGCCTGAGCCATAGTGTTTGAGCCGCCACCCTCAATCATGTATGTCATCAAAGTCCACTGCAGAAGTATACAAAGATACAGAAAACAGTCTTGACATTATCTTCCCTTCTACACCAGACCTATCAGAGTAATCCCTTCATATCCCAGTCCCAGTCCTGTCCCATATTACCGGGGCACCAGCAAAGCCAATCAGTGGCACACGGCCAGCCAGCCGCTTTCGGGTAAGGGTGATGGCTTGGAACACATAGCCTAGCTCAGAGGCCACTACTGCTGGATCCCGCAGACGCTCTAGGTCCCGCTCGTCTCTTAATGGCTCTGGGAAGCTGGGTCCTTTGCCAGGTACCATGGTCACTTCCATGCCCAATGCCTGAAACAGAATAATACATCTGAGTCCCCAGCCTGGAACTACAGGAAGAAGGGTTCTAAGTTCAGCACATGCCAGGAAAAAAATTAGAGAATAAAATTCAACTCCCATCTTTTCAGTTTTTCCCTCTCTTTAGTTATAATAAAGTGTTCATCTTTTTGAACTTTGGTAGGACAGCTAGGATTTCCAAGTAGTCCTTTTATTTTTTGTCCATCATGGGGCATGAACTCGGGGCCTGGGCACTGTCCTTCAGCTCTTTTCCTCAAGGCTAGTGCTCTACCACTTTGAGCCACAGTGCCATTTCCAGTTTTCTGGTGATAAGTATCTCACTGACTTTCCTTCCAGGGCTGCCTTTGAGCCATGATCCCCAGATCTCAGCCTCCTGAGTAGCTAGGATTATAGGCGTGAGTCACCAGCATCCAGCCTCCCCACCCCCACACACACACTTTTTTAAAACTCATTCCAAGACCATGTTTGAGTGCATACCTGAGGTACCACAAGAATGTCAGAGAAGATGATGGCAGCATCCAGAGGGAAGCGTTGCAATGGCTGTGGGGAAATAGAAAACAGGTTCTAGGTGGCAAGCTGAAGGAATAAATCTCCCCCCCCCCCACACACACACACACACTTCTCTAAACCTCTCACCTGGAGAGTCAGTTCACAGCATGCCTCAGGAGAGCGACAGGTGCTGAAGAAGTCCTGGTTAGCCCTGGTTTCCCTAAATTCTGTAGACCAAGGAGGAGACAGAACTCAAGCCTGAGGCCTTTCAAAGCCCTTGCCTACCTCTGGAAAACTTTTCCCCCTCCAGAGTTTTACCTAGACTTTGGGGAGTAAACCCTGACCTGGTAGGTAACGGCCTGCCTGCCGCATGCACCAAACGGGAGTGTAGTCTGTTTCTTCTCCCCAGGCGGCTCGCAGGAACGTGTCATTCTTCAGCTCCGGAAAGCACTGGGGTCTGGTGATCAGGTGCGGGTGGGGGTAAAGATAAGTGTCAGTATGCTAGGCTGAGGGGTTGGAAAGGCACGGGTTCTTGTGGCAGATTCAGTCTAGGACCGCTATCTACCCCCTCCAGACACCAGCTCTCAAGCTGTGACTCCCCCACCCATTCCGCCTCCTCTCTATCAATTAGGTGGTGCACAAAACTAGAAAGGCCTGCGCTGGGGCCTCTTCCCCAGCTCAAACCGGAGGGACGGAGGTTGGGGCAGGGGGAGTAGAGGGGGACGGAAGAGATGAAAGACTAATAATAATTTGGGAGAAGCGGGTCACTAATCTAGCGAGTCTGAAAGAGGAATCAAGAGTTGACCGTCCCAAATAAAGGTGCGGGGTATCTCAGGAAAGAATGTCTAGGGAGCTCGATCCAGCAGGGCAGTCCCTGGAAAGAGGGTCTCAGGAACCCATGTTTGGAAGAGTCGATATTCCAGCGACAGGCTTATATTGGGAGATCTCCACGAACATGCGGATGTAAGGAGATTCCTAAATTGGAAGAATTAGATCAGAAATCCTGCTAGCCTCACCGCGCTTAGAGGACTCACCCCGACCCGTTCGCCTCCATGGCAAAAACGTAAACTGCGGAGACAGTTCCCCACTTTTAAGCCTGCCCCCCAGCCCAGGCTCCGCCCCTTCCTGGCTTGATCCTTGGACAGCGCCATGTTGAAAGTCACGTGACGTGACCACAGTGACAGCTCCGGGGCTGCCCTCGCTGTTGCCGGTAGGACCCTGACTTTCTCACCGTAAAGTCCAGTGTTGCGGCGCAAAAACAAACGCTCCGCAGAAATAACTTCGTTATAACTACATTGTAAAGTGGCATGAGGAATTTGTTCTCATGGGACAGTCTAGCAATCCCAAAGGCTTAGCCCAAGACTCTCTTCACGTCCACTCTCCAAATGATTCGAACAATCGTATCCAGTAGGCAGTCAGAGAATGATACAACAAGGTTGTACAGGGAACTAAAATTTGTTATATTGTATATTACCTCCTGAGAGCTAGGATCTATAGCAGGTGCCTTGCGTGCTGAGCAAGGCAGCTTCTCCCTTTAAGGAATTACCGACTGCTCAGTCAATCTAATGGGGAAACAAACCGGCAACTGTTGAAGTGAATAATGATTTGGAGGAACAATGACTATCTAGAGTGACTCCTCAGTGGCCAGGTAAGGGGTCATTCTTCCAAACATTTTAGTAACATGCTCCTAGGGTCTAATGTATTTTAGAATATTTCTATGATTGTAATATGATTCATGGAAGAAGGAGGCAAAAAGAGGAGGCCTGAGAGCCAGAAAAATGGTTGTTATAAGAATCCAGTTTATTAGATGGGGTATTGGTTTGAAAGAGGGTAGTAGCAGTGGAGATAAAATAGTGGTATAGAGCGCTAATGGCTCACGCCTGTAATCCTAGCTACTCAGGAGGCTGAGATTTTAGGATCGTAGTTCGAAGCCAGCCAGAGCAGAAAGGTCCGTGAGACTAACACCCCCCACAGACACCATCGTGGTGCTTGAACTCTGGGCCTGGGCGCTGTCCCTCAGCTCTGTTAGCTCAAGGCTCGCACTCTATCGCTTAAGCTACAGTGACACGTCTGGTTTTCTGGTGCTTAATTGGAGTTAAGAGTATCACAGACTTTCCTGCCCAGTCTGGCTTTGAACCAAGATCCTCAGCTCTCAGACTCCTGAGTAGCTAGGATTACAGGCGTGAGCCACACTCACCCAGCTCTGTGTAAGACACTTATCTCCAATTAACCACCAGAAAACCAGAAGTCTTGAACTAAAAAGCTCGGGTACAGCTCCCAGGTCCTAAGTTCAAGCACCACACAGGCAAAAACAAAAATAAAACAAAAGAATGATAGCAGTGAGCTGGTCGTAGCAGCCCAGTATTGTCCAGTATTCCGGTGGCTGAGGACCCAGCCTGGGCTGCTACACAGTGAGGTCCTATCTTAAAAAGAGAGAGACAGAGAGAAAAAAACAACCATAGTGGTAGTCATGGGAATAGAAAGTGAGTATTGGAAAGTGATCAGATAAGATCCACCAAGCTTGGGGTTTGGCTGGGGTGAGCGCGCACAGACCTAGACTTAATGGTCGAATGACAATCAGTATTCTATTCGGCGGAAGTGGGGTGTGCGCTTAGTCCAGGGCATACGGTAAAGGTTGGCGGAGGCGGGGCAGGGCGCGGCGGGGAGCTGGGCTCCCTCCCGGAGCCGCGGCACCCGGCGCCGGCTCGCCCCTGGCTCTCCCCTCAGCTACTACTTCGCCATGGCCGGCCCGGGTCCGGGCGCGGCCCTCGAGTCCCCGCGGCAGCTGCTGGGCCGCATACGCTTTTTGGCTGAGGCAGCACGAAGTCTCCGCGCCGGGCGGCCGCTGCCAGCAGCGCTGGCTTTCGTGCCCAGAGAAGTGCTCTACAAGCTCTACAAGGACCCCGCGGGACCGTCGCGCGTGCTGCTGCCGGTGTGGGAGGCAGAGGGCCTGGGGCTGCGTGTGGGCGCCGCGGGCCCAGCTCCCGGAGCCGGCTCCGGGCCCCTCCGCGCCGCGCGGGACAGCATCGAGCTCCGGCGCGGTGCCTGCGTGCGAACCACCGGCGAGGAGCTGTGCAACGGCCACGGGCTCTGGGTGAAGCTCACGAAGGTGCGCTCTAGCTTCCGGGACCCCGCAAAAGACCCTGAAACCCGGGGAACTTCCTGGCTGTTCCCTTTCCCTGCCCTCTCTTGAGCTGCCATGGCATTTGGTGCCCTTTGCCCCTGGGCTGGGCAGTTCCCTGATGGCTGTCCCCTCCGGGCGCGTCCCTGCAGGAGCAGCTGGCGGAACACCTGGGTGACTGCGGGTTGGACGAAGGCTGGCTTCTGGTGTGCCGCCCGGCGGAGGGCGGGGCCCGCCTCGTACCCATAGACACTCCGGACCACCTCCAGCGGCAGCAGCAGCTCTTTGGCGTGGACTACCGGCCGGTGCTCAGGTCCTGCAACCGATGCAAGAGGGGCTTGCGGTCAGATAGTCGGGCACTGAGGGTTTCGGAACACTTCATGTAATGGGGGGTGTACTATTAGAACGACGGCAGGGTTAAGAGCAGGAAGGAACAAAACCTGAAGGGAGCTGGAGTTGAACTTTTCGAGGCTTGGAGCTAGAGCTCAGGAGAATGCTCTAGGTTCAGGGGATGTTGTGCCGCCCGCTGATCTCCCCCACCCCATCACACACACACACACACACACACACACACACACAACAACAACAACAACAACAATCCAATCCCCATTCTCTGCTCACAGATGGGAACAGGTGGTGGACCTGACATATTCACATCGCCTGGGATCGAAGCCGCAGCCAGCCGAGGCTTACACAGAAGCTGTACAAAGGCTACTGTGAGTGAGCTGGGATGAGATGGGGAGGAGGGAGCTCTAGGTCTGAGTCCGACCTAATTAAGGGCTTGGAATTACTTAGCTATGTGCCCCCAACATGGACCTACGAGTGCGACGAAGACCTGATCCACTTCTTGTATGACCACCTGGGCAAGGAGGATGAGAACCTGGGTAGTGTGAAGCAGTATGTGGAGAGCATAGATGTTTCGTCCTATACGGTGGGTGCTGGGATTCTTCCTGCTTGAAGCAAGGTATAGCCGTACCCCTTAAAGCTAGAATCAAACTCCCATCTCCAAACCAGGGCCAAACCAACAGTCCCACAAGCCACACTCAGCCCAGCTCCTCATCTTGGAAATCCTATAGAAAACCCCAGACACTTTCCTAGCCCACCCTCATGCTCACCCTATATTAGTTGTCCTTTTAGCCCAACTCTACCACTTTCTCTTATGTTCCTTGGCCCAAAGCACATGCCCAGAGCAAAGGTGAGGCTAACCTCTGACTCCACCTCCCTATTCCTCTCTAGGAGGAGTTCAATGTGTCCTGTCTGACAGACAGCAACGCAGATACCTACTGGGAAAGTGATGGGTCTCAGTGCCAGCACTGGGTACGGCTTACTATGAAGAAGGGCACCATTGTCAAGTTAGTAAGCTCTGGTCAGGACAGGGTGGGTGAGCCATATATATGCCCATGTATTCACAGAAATGTACCCAGGTGTATTTTCTAACCCCTCAGGAAGCTGCTACTCACAGTGGATACCACAGATGACAACTTTATGCCTAAGCGAGTGGTGGTGTATGGGGGCGAAGGAGACAACCTTAAGAAGCTGAGTGACGTGAGCATTGACGAGTGAGCAAGCTGGCCTGGGGTGGGAGATGGGGCATGCTCTTAGCAATAAGACCAGGCCTAGCTTGGATGCTTAAATCTTGGTGGGACCTCAGCAAGGCCCGAGGAGGAGGTATCTGAAGTGCCTCACACCTGTCTTCTCAGGACCTTGATTGGAGATGTCTGCGTCTTAGAGGACATGACAGTTCACCTACCTATCATTGAGATCCGTATTGTGGAGTGCCGAGGTAGGCTTATGTTTGTAAGAAGGGAAGGGGAGCCCAAGGTGTAGGATAGAAGCAGGTGACATTGAGTGTGGAGGGAAGGGGATGGACTTGGAGGGAGGGTGACACATGTTGGCAGAACTAACTCCATGATTTAAAGCCTAAGGCCTAAACCAGGTGGGAGACAGAAGTTGGAATTATATGAAAGAACTAAGTTGGGATCTACAGGCATTTCAACAATATAGAGGTGGACAGGGAATCAGCAAGTATATAAATATCAAGTAAGAGAATGGGATCCCAAAGATCTCAAGTTTCTAGGAGCTAAGAATGACAAAAAGCTGAGCATTAAAAAGCCAGGTCTTGCCAAGCACTGGTGGCTCACGCCTGTAATCCCATCTACTCAGGAGGCTGAGATCTGAGGATTGTGGTTCAAAGCCAGACCTGGCAGGAAAGGCCCTGCCAGGGCCTTTGGGGGGGGGGTCCAGTTGTGGGGCCTGAACTCTGGGCCTGGGCGCTGTCCCTCAGCTCTTCAGCTCAAGGCTAGCGCTCTACCACTTGAGCCACAGCGCCACTTCTGGCTTTTTTCTTTTTTGCCTATGTGGTGCTGAGGAATCGAACCCAGGGCCTCAGGCATGCAAGGCAAGTGCTCTACCACTGAGCCACCTTTCCAGCCCCCGAAACTCTTATCTCCAACAAATCACCAGAAAACCGGAAGTGGCGCTATGGCTCAAGTGGTAGAGCACTAGCCTTGAGCTGAAGAGCAGAAGGACAGTGCTCAGGCCCAGAGTTCAAGCCCCATGACTAAAAAAAAAAAAAAAAATCTAGGTCTGAGGACCAAAAAAAGGCAGCAGGTGCAATAAATGACCTTACTCTGACCTCTCCCCCACAGATGATGGGATTGATGTTCGTCTTCGAGGGGTCAAGATCAAGTCATCTAGACAGCGGGAACTAGGGCTAAATGCAGACCTGTTCCAGCCAGCCAGTCTGGTGCGATACCCACGCCTGGAAGGAACTGATCCAGAAATACTGTATCGCAGAGCTGTTCTACTGCAGAGGTGGCTATGGTCCTGGGCCTATAGGCCCCTTTCCTTCCCTCCATCCCTGAGTCTTGTGCATCAGCACAGAGGAGGCCCCAGAGTCTTATAGTATACGTTATTCTGCTTCAAAAAGGATCAGAGCAGCCCCTGGGCCCTGATGTCTGCCACAATATGTTGGGAAGTTGGGGATCTTACATCTATGCCAAACTCTTTACCTACTATCTCAGATTCATCAAGATCCTAGACAGTGTCCTGCACCATCTGGTACCTGCATGGGACCATACTCTAGGTACCTTCAGTGAGATTAAGGTGAGTCTGGCCTATCTGCTACTAGTCTGGGTGGTGGGCTTCTCTTCCTGCTCATCTTCAACAGAGAGGTCCTAAAATCTACCCTAGGGCTAGATCTTTATTGGGAACCAGGAAGAAAGCCAGACACAAGTGATAAAAAAAAGTACTTTGTGGAGAGGTGAAGGCTATTCCCCCAAATGAATGTGTTCAACATGTAAGAGTAGGAGGAGGAGAGATGATATCCTAGCCAGAGCTTTCATAAAAGAGGTACCCTAGACACTTCTAGAAGCTCCATATTATTTGAGAAAAATGTGTAGGTAGATGTATGGATGACTATGAGATGAGGCTGGAAAAACAGGCAAAAAGCAGAATTTGTTAGTCAGAGATCCTGAGGGCCAAGCTGAAAAGCAGGGATTTTTGTCCCAGGTCAGTAGAGCAATAAGAAAAATTTTGAAGTAATGATACTGTTTGTTCATTTGTTTGTTTGTTTAAGAAAGCTCCCCCTGGTAGTTGCACTAAGAAAGGGACTGGGGCCAGGCACCATGCCTATAATCCTAGCTACTCAGAAGGCTGAGATCTGAGGATCATGGTTCGAAGCCATCCCAGGAAGAAAAGTCCATGAGACTCTTTATCTCCAATTAACCACCAGAAAACCAGACGCAATGCAGTGGCTCAAAGTGGTGGAGTGCTAGCATTGAGCAAAAGAGCTCAGGGACAGTGCCCAGGCACTGAGTTAAAGCCCTAAGACTGACAAGGAAAGAAAGAAAGAGAGAGAGAGAGAAGAAAAGAGATGGGGACAGGTGTCGGGGGCAAGGATGGACTTGGAAGGGTAAAATTGGATCCAGGTGTAGAGGAAAGTCCCAGGGCTTGGACAAATACTGACTGTCCACTGATCCTGCTGTGGCCATCTGTCATCACCAGCAAGTGAAACAGTTCCTACTGCTATCGCGCCAGCGGCCCAGTCTGGTGACCCAGTGCCTACGTGACTCAGAGAGCAGCAAGCCCAGCTTCATGCCTCGCCTGTATATCAACCGACGCCTTGCCATGGAACATCGTGCCTGTCCCTCTCGGGACCCTGCCTGCAAGAATGCAGTCTTCACCCAGGTCTGGACCACTTGAGTTAGACCGAGGGAGGGTCAGTAAAGGATCTAGGCAGCTGGTTCAAAAGAGACCTGAGCCAGGTATTTGAGCAAGTGTAGAGCCAGGTTTTAACACAAACCTCGCTACAAGTACTTCCTCTTTCCCCATCCCCCAAGGTTTATGAAGGCCTCAAGCCCTCTGACAAGTATGAAAAGCCCCTGGACTACAGGTATGCCTTGAGGGTAAGAGACACACAAGTATTCATAGGGCACACAAATGAACTCATACACCCATACCCCCCTCCTGGCATCTTCACCATTGCCACTCTGTTAGCTCTTTTCCTGGTAATCTCTGGGTTGATGAATTGGCCTAAGAACTGGCCCACTTTAATGACAGAGATCCACTCCACTTACAGGTGGCCCATGCGCTATGACCAATGGTGGGAGTGTAAATTCATCGCAGAAGGCATCATTGACCAAGGTGAGGACCTAAGGAAGGATGAAACAAGACCTGCTTGTTGCCTCATTCAGTACTAAGAGGCTTTGGGAAGCCTGCTTTTAACCCCCACTATGGGTGCTAGGCTTTTTGTGTACCTAGCTAAGGTCTCTCATTTCAGGGGGTGGCTTCCGAGACAGCCTGGCAGATATGTCAGAAGAGCTGTGCCCTAGCTCAGCTGACACCCCTGTGCCTCTGCCCTTCTTTGTGCGAACAGCCAACCAGGTAATCTTTCTTCTAAACCCCACCCCCACATTTCTGCTCTTCTGTCTCTGCAAATCTTCTAGGTACCAGATTGAGCTAGAGAAGGAGCAGAGGAGGTTATAAGATGTCTGGGGCAACTCAGGCAGACAGGGAGAAGAGGAACCTTCCTCTGCCCAGGAAGATTTTGGGGGAAGTTTTTGGTATGCTTCAGGTAGGAAAGTAGGGTCTACCAATAGTGTGCTGACAGTTCTGTTTCTGGGACAGGGCAATGGCACTGGTGAAGCCCGAGATATGTATGTTCCCAATCCCTCCTGCCGAGATTTCGCCAAGTATGAGTGGATTGGACAGCTAATGGGGGCAGCCCTTCGGGGCAAGGAGTTCCTAGTGAGTAGCCTGATCTTCATCCCTCTTGGATCAGCCCTGGACTCTGAAAGTAAGGGGCCACTAAACTTGGCTTGGCAGCTCAGGGTGATAAGATAGTACCATTTGTCACACAGGTTCTGGCTCTGCCTGGGTTTGTGTGGAAGCAGCTGTCTGGTGAGGAGGTGAGCTGGAGCAAGGACTTCCCAGCTGTGGACTCTGTGTTGGTGAGTAGGACTGGAACCAGTGTTTCCTCCCCTTAGACCTTAAAACTTGGTACTCCCCCAGGACTTTCCAGCACTTCGCCCTCTTCTGCTGTACACATGCTCCTCTCCATTCCCATAGACTACCATGATTTCATTTACTATCTGAACCCTAAAACTATATAATCCCTCAAATCCTGACCTCCAAGCTCCTGGGACTGCATCTGCATCCTGGACATTCGCCTCAAGATGGTGCACTTGAGGCTCATGGCTTCCTCCCTGTTCCAAGCTAGGACTATTGTTAACCCTCCCCATGCCACAGCCCTCTGTGCGATTCTTCACTCCTCCTTCCTCATCCCCACATTGAGCTAGTCTCCCTCTAGGATATTTTTCTTTCTCTCATCTCACTCCGATCCCCAGGTTCAGGCCAACTTTCCTTCTGCCCTAAACATTGCAAAAGCTAGTAATTTATTTTTCTATCCTTGTTTAAATTCTTTGACAGCTCTGCCCAGGACTTGCGACAAAGCAGCCTCTGAAAAGGCTTTACACGACCCCTGTATCTCTTGCTAAACATGGGGTCACATTTGGGCTCCTGACAAACCTTTCTCAGGCCTTTTGCTTTCAGCTTTGTCCAGGATATTTTCTCCTCTGAGTCCCTTATAGCCCACCCAATTCCCAGTCATAATTTAGGTGTCAGCTCAAGTATCATTTCTTACAGATGCCCTCCCTAGCTTCCATTGCTTTTTAGGTGTTATCTTGGTATTTCTACAACCTTGTACCAGTCCCCTCACTCCCCAATGCCTGCCTGAGGACTGCCTTACCTGTTGCTTCTGTTTCCCCATGAACATCTTAAGGAAAGACAGAATGTCTCTCCAACGAAAAGCTGACTTCCCTGCCTCACCCTAATCCTCAGGTGAAGCTCCTGGAAGTGATGGAAGGAATGGACAGGGAAACATTCGAGTTCAAGTTTGGAAAGGAACTAACCTTCACCACCGTACTGAGTGACCAGCAGGTTGTGGAGCTGATTCCTGGGGGCACAGGCATCGTGGTGGGATATGAGGACCGTTCTCGTTTCATCCAACTGGTGCAGAAGGCACGGCTAGAGGAGAGCAAGGAGCAGGTAGTAGCTAGAGGCCCGTAGAGCAGAGGACTTTGGACTATCCTAAGCCCCAGGTCCTAATGACAAAAGTCAAGGCTAATAGGCCACCAGTACCAATCCTAGAAACTCAGGCTCCTATCATAACTGTGCCCCCACAATAGTGATCAGGGTACAGAGATGCCCTGGTGTGCTCAGAGAATGGTGCCCTTTCTCCCAACTCTGCCTCTTGTCCCTTCATTCCCAGGTGGCAGCTATGCAGGCAGGTCTGCTGAAAGTAGTGCCACAAGCTGTGCTGGACTTGCTGACCTGGCAAGAGTTAGAGAAGAAGGTGTGTGGGGACCCAGAGGTCACTGTGGATGCTCTGCGCAAGCTCAGTGAGTTCCAGGCAATGGGGAGGTGAAGCTCACTGTAGGACTGAAGGACTAAGTTGAGTGATACCTAAGAATGAATTCTGGTCTTGTCCTCTTCAGCTCGGTTTGAGGACTTTGAGCCATCTGATACCCGTGTGCAGTATTTCTGGGAGGCACTGAACAATTTCACCAATGGTCAGTGAAGGAGAGCAGTGTGGACTTTGCCTTTGGGATACAGTTAGGGTAGAAGTTATCAAACCTCCCTCCCTCACCATTAGTGCCAGCTGATTTCCTTCTCTTCCACCCAGAGGACCGCAGCCGCTTCCTGCGCTTTGTCACAGGCCGCAGTCGCCTACCAGCACGGATCTACATCTATCCAGACAAGCTAGGGTGAGTATATGTGCAGCAAGGAGGACCAAAGGGACCCCCTGACAAACATGCCTCTACAGATCTTCCTAATTTGTGGCCCCTCAACACCCCCAGCTATGAGACTACAGATGCGCTGCCCGAGTCTTCCACCTGCTCCAGTACCCTCTTCCTACCACACTATGTCAGGTGAGTTTTCCTAGGCTCAGGCCTGAGGTCAGCATCCTCAGTGTGGTGTCCAAACTGGAGCCCCCTTGCTCCTGGGAGTAGGGTGGACGGGCCTGACTGAGTCCCCACCCCCACAGCGCCAAGGTGTGCGAGGAGAAGCTCCGCTATGCCGCCTACAATTGTGTGGCCATCGATACCGACATGAGCCCCTGGGAGGAGTGAGGCGGTGTCCACCGCACTCCCAGAAATGAACACACAGCTGGGGGTCTGTGCTCCATACCAAGCTGATATGTTGAGAAACCCACAGGGTAGCACAGAGTACCTGCTGCTCCTATGAATGTAGTTGGAGCCAGGGTGATGGGTGGACAGTGGTCCAGCCCTGCAGATCCTCAACCCTCCTCGTGCTAGGGCTTGTTTCCTGAGGAAGAGAGAATCTTCCACAAGCCCAGCACAAGCTGCCAGGCCTGAGCTACTTGAAGGGGGCCAGTCTGCTCCTCATCCCGTGGACTTTGATTCCATTTTCTGTTCCACCTGTTTTTCTTTTGACTTCAAGCTGTGGCTCAAAGTTTTCAAAACCTTGAAGGGCAGTATATTTTTCTCCTCAATCAAATAGCCAAGGGTGGACAGGAATGATGGTCATCCTCCTTGGTCATCTACCCCCAAAAAATATTCAGTGGATGAACATCTCCTCCTTCACATTCTGGCATTTCCCTCCTATCCCTCCATGCCAGAGGTGTGAGCTTTGTCCTTTCATAACTCAGTCTTGATTGACAAAGTGCCACCACCCTCCCGGCTCAGAACTTCCATCTACCGAACATCAGCTCTTTGCTATATCCACTCCATATCCACCAGTACTGCAGCATCTCCAGCCCACTCCTCATTATGCAGATTAAAGACACTTAAGATCTCTCCAAGATTTTCTTTACCCTACTCTAAAGTAAAGCCTAGACTTCAAACTAGTTCCTTACCAGCCCTCCCTCCCTTGAAAGCCTCGGTGACACTCCTTCAAAAGAAAGACTTGCACATGGGAAAATTGAATAAATGGATTTCCTTCAGAATGTGTTTTTGGGCTCCTAGGGTTTGTGTTTATTGGGTTTCCTACTAGGATCAAAAAGAACCTGGAGAGTTGGGTGCTAGCTCACTCCTATAATCCTACTCAGAAGGCTGAGATCTGAGGATCACTGTTTGAAGCTGAAAATATGTGAGATTCTTATCTGTAATTAATCACCAAAAACCTGAGAGCAGAGCTGTGGTTCAGGTGATAGAACACTAGCCTTGAGTAAGAAAAGCACAGGGACAACACCTAGGCTCTGAATTCAAGTCCCAGGACTAGCACAAAAAAAAAAAAAAGGACTTAGAGAGTCAGACACTAATGGCTTGCTCACACCTGTGATCCTAGCTATTCAGGAGACTGAGATCTAAAGATCATGGTTCACAGCCAGCCCAGACAGAAAAGTCCATGAGACTCTTTCTCCAATTAGCCAACAAAAAAACCCCTGGAAGTGGGGGTGTGGCTCAAATGGTAGAGCAGCAGCCTTGAGGGATAAAAACCCAAGCAAAAGCGTGAGGCCATGACATCAAGCCCTGTTATTGCCAGAGAGGCAGAGAGGGGCAAAGGGAGAGAGAGAAAGGGTAGGGGGAGGGAGAAAGAAGAAAAAAAAAGAAAGGAAAAAAGAGAAGAAAGAAGACCTAGAGAATTGCTATGTCCTGGAAGACCTTTGGTAATTAGTGCTCTGCTGGTACCAAAGACATGCATGCCTAATAGGAGTGGTGGTACTGGGTGACCATATTTCACCTGCAGTTAAATGCAGTTAAATCAGAAAAGATAAAGCCTAGTCTGTCATCTTCTGGGTGGGTGTATTGTGACTTGGAGGATACAAGTCTACTTCTTGAATCAAAGGGGCAGAAAAATGTCATATCATAGAGGGCAAACTTTGGAATGGCTGACAAGACAACCAGGTGAGGATTTTGACACAAATAACATCATTCCTAAGCATCTACCACTTGCCATGCAGTTAAGATACAGAGACCTCATGGGGGTACAGCCTCTCACCAGGGGAACAATCATACCCTCAAGCACAATCTTCAGGCCCGGATGTCTTAGTGGATCCAATGTGAGACAGTGTTAGGCAAGTTGCCAGTTGCCCACTTTGCAATTTATGCTTAGGTAGTTGTCCTCGAAGGCCCATTCTGATGCTACCTTAGCATCAGGCACTAGGTGAGCTCCTAAGAGTTGTATTGTATATTTGTCCAGGCCTATCTCCATATAATTTTGTGACCAACACCCAGCTCAGCCTCCTAGGAAACTTCTACTCTACTTCTAGTACCCATTTCCTGCCTCTCCCCAATCCCTGCTCCTTGGATGGTCCCCAGGAAACTGACACACATTCCCTCTCCCTCTCCCTCCCTTCTTCCCTCTCTCTCTCTCCCTCTCTATCCCTCTCTCTCTTTCTCTCTCTCTCTCTCCCTCTCTCTCTGACTTTCCTTTCTCTTTGAGAGCTGCAGCAGTAGGAATCTAAGAGGCTTCCTACCCCACTCAGAGCTGCTCTTCTGCTCTTCCTAGCAAAGATCCTGTGGAAGGGCTACCTTCTCTGGCCTTCAGTGAAGGCCCTGGTGTTCATGTCCTGTGTCTGCTAGTAGTCCTATGTCTTCAATCTCTTATACTGTTTATTTTTAGTCTGCTTTCCATTATTCATTCATCCATTCAGCAGCAAGCATGGAACACCTATGTCAGGCACCATTGGGGGCTAAAACACTGATTATTTTTGTCTTCATGAATTTAACAGGCGAGATATAGAACATATTAAGCAAGAAAATGCATAGAATAGTTGTAATCAATGGAGTACAATGAGATACCTTCTCTCCCCCACCCCCTTCCATACTCTAAATTCAAGGCCTCACACTTAACACTCAAACACTTGAGCCACAAACCTAGCCCTTTTTGGCTTTGGTTGTTTTTTGTTTTTTTTGTTTTTGTTTTTTTTTGGGTCCAGTCGTGGGGCCTGAACTCTGGGTCTGGGCACTGTCCCTCAGCTCTTCAGCTCAAGGCTAGCGCTCTACCACTTGAGCCACAG